CCGGTTTTTCATGCTGTTGCACTGGGGCAGCTTCAGGGCTATTCCTTTTTTTCCCCCTGAACACTCTGAACAAGCGAAGAAATCTGCCCGCCATGCCAGAGTCTGGTCTCGAGGGCAACTTCTAGAGAGATTGCTCGGGAAAGATCCAAGTCAACAAGTCCTCAAGGGCACTTGCAAAAGAGAAGCCTCGGGAAGGCCACGGGCTGCCAAGTCCTGTGGTCTTGCCACGAGGTCACCTGTAGGAATAATGCCTCAGAAAAGCTCCGAGTGGGACAGGAACGAGCGCGCTCTGCGGGGGCTCCTCACGGCACCGCTCTGTCCCGTCCTGTCTGGTCGCCTGCTCCGAGCACTGTGGCGTGCTCTGGTCACTGCCAGCTCCTATGTCACCTCGTGTCACAAAGGCCATCCAGTCCTGTTCTATGCCATAGTGACCATGCTGCAGCATGTCACAAAGGGCCCTTGCACACACTGCCACCTGCCCTGGGGCCACCCCCTGCCCACCCAAAGGGGCCCAGGTTGGCAGGAATCCCTGGCCCCAAGTGTCTGAGACAGCCCAACAAGATCTTTAGGAACGGCTCAGACCATCAGCAAACGCTGCCCTGCTCTGCAAGCTCAGGGCAGAAGAAGGAGCCCCCAGGGCTGCCGACTCAGCTGTGCTGGGAAGGGCATGGGACCTTCCATGGAAGCTGCCACGGCCTCCTCAGGATGCATCCCGGCCTGTGGCCATCCTAAACCCGCGGCTGTGGCACACACAAGGAACTGTGGGCCAGGGCAGGAATGCTGCTCTGAGCCCTGGGGCCCGGGGAGCGCTGGCACCAGCAGGTGAGGCAGAGTCCCTGCCCAGGCAGACCTGCCAGCCCCCGAGCCCTGGCAGGGCTGGTGCCGTCTCCTGCCCCAGAGACCTGTGCCCCTGGGGGCTTCTGTGCCAGAGGGAGCCAAACCCACGTATACTGGGGGCTGTGCTCCTGCCTGCAGGGGCTGTTGGCAGGAACACCTGGAGCAACTGCTGGCAACAATGAGTAGATGGCAAAATGGTTAACCCTGCCCTGGTATAGAGATCTAAGTGGCCAATAAAGTACAGCTCTCCCCTCTTGTTCCCTGCAGCAGAATCAGGACCATGAACAGAAACGGCCACAGGTATTCTCTCTGCGGCCCATAAACAAAACTGTGCCAAACTACAGATGCTGCCTTCAAACAGACTCAAATTCCAGCCTAGACCTCTCACCTCCCAGACAACTCCTTCCCCAACATACCTCCAACACCAACACCCTGCAAACACCGCACAGAAGCCTTCAACATCCCGCCAGGACCCCCAGCTGTCCCCATGCCTCCGCAGATTTTCCCTCCCTCCAGCAGACCCCCTGGTTTCCTGCACGTGCTGTGGGATGGCACTCAGGAGGATCTGCTCCAAGGCCTTCCCCGGCAGCAAGCTCAGGCTGCCAGGCCTATGGATCCTGGATCATCCTTCCCACTGAGCCTTCCCATGCACGGCTCTTCCATTGGCACATCTGCACTCAGCTGGGATTACTCCGCTCAACCAGGGCTGCTGGCAAAGGATCAAGAGCAGCCTGGCAAGCTCTTTCTCCAGCTCCCTCTGTGCTCTTGGGGAAGGTAGAACATTCCACAGGAAAGCAACTGGTGCCACAAGGAGTGGGTGGCATCAGGCAGCTCTGGGGAAGCCCCTCAGGAATGCTGTATCCTGAGGGAACACTGTTGGCCTTGACCTGTTGGCACCTGCAAAAGCTTCAAATCAGCTGCCTCAGCTCCCAGGGCCTCTCTTGGCCAGCATCCTGACGTGGATGCAGGACAGCTGCCAGGCACTGCTGGGACCCAGCGGGACAGGACCGGCTGTCTCGTGCCCACGCAGCAGCCCTGACACAGCCAGGGCCATCCCGAGAGCAGACAGACGCTCACGGGCCAGCAGAGAGGAGCAAGGAGCCCTGGGCTCCTCTCAGGGTATCTCAGCTGGGCTCACTCCACAACACGCCTCCATTTGATGGCCTGCTGATGCCCAGCTGCCAGAAATGCCCACCTTGTGCTCTCCAAGATGCACAGGGAGAGCCAAGGAGCAGGACACCTTGGCAGGCAAACCTTCCAAGCCTTTTCTGAGGCCAGGCACACACCCAGATCAGCCAAGACTCTCCACCACACTGCCTGGCCCAACCAGCCCAGCTCTGTGCTGGCCCTGGGCCAAAGCAGCTCCCAGCAAGCCAGAGGCAAATCTTGCCAAGAGCTGAAACACAGCAGCCAGGGAAGATGTGAAAAGTGAGTGTGTAAAGGCCTTTTAATTCACAGCTCCCACACAGAGCTTTGGGGCTCACAGATGGACAGAGATGGTTCTGCTCACCCCTCTGTCCAAAGAGGGGTAACACACGCTGCTGCAGGTGCTTGGGTTGGTCTCTGCAGGTTCAGGTAGATGCCAAACCTGCTCTTCACAGGCTTCTCCCATCCCCTGCCCCTCTGCCAGGTTCTCTAAAAACCCCACAGCGCTGCCTTTGCCCTGTCTTTTGGGGGTAAGAAATGGATTCCGGAGCTTTGTGAAACCAAGCCCCGTCTCGTTTGTTCCTGGTACCCACAGCTGCACTCTCCCTGGACACCACGAATTCAACTTCTGGAGGATTTGTGGGTTCTGGGGGAATTTTGGCAGTGTTCTCCATCTCTTTGCACTCAAAAAAAAAACCAAGAGGGATGAATTTGTCACCACAAAACCACTCAATCCCACTGAAAACAACAGAATTTTAACCTATAAAGGCACAATCCCACCTCCAATTGCATGTTCTGACCTCCAAAAAACTCAATCCCACACAAAGCTCACTTGATTCCACAGCTGCCAGGGTGAGATGGGGTTGGGAAGAGATTGGGAGAAGTGGGATCCCAGTTTGGAGTGGTGGGATGTATTTGATAGCGAATAAAACTTTCAGAGTTACTGATTTCTGTCCCGTTCATTTTCAGTCACTTCTGTTTGTAGAGTGGCTCCTTCTCAGTTGATTAAATTCCTATAAAAATATTTTTTTTTAAAATCAGCTGACCCAAACAATCCAAAAACCAATATTCATATAAAACCACCCATCTGCAATTATATTTTTTAAAACAATTTTAATTTTTTTAGAGTGTTTAAGGGTGCTATTAAAGTTTGTTTGGTAAATTGTATGAGACATTATAGTGGTGTTTGGTTTCGTGTTCAGTATATTTGTAGTGTGAATTGTTTTACTAAGGTGTGTTCGATTGTATGTTTAGATTGGCTGGTGCTGTGAGAGGCGCTGGGCTCTGCCTGGCAACTGATGAGTCAGAGCCATCCCGGGCGCTGATTGGCTCAAAATCGCCAGGCGGGACCAGCGCCGACTTTCTGCCTGGGAACTGAATCGTCATCAACGCCGCGCGCTCTGATTGGCCAGGATCTGCTTCGGGGCGGGGACGGGAGGAACTGGGGACCCCCAGGAGCCCCCCGGGTTTGGGGTTTCCATCCCCCCTCGGCCCCCGGGGCGGCCTTGGGGCCACCCCAACACCCCCAAAATGGGGAGGGTCTCTGGAGCCGCTTGGAAGCCCTAAAAATGGGCTGGAAGCGGCAGGAGCCGCCCCAAAAAGGGATTGAAGGGTCCAGTCCGGGAATGGCTCCGACCCGGATTGGGGCGGGCTGGGATTGAGGGAGGGTCCGGCCAGCGGCTGCGGAGGGGCTGGGATTGGGGAGGGCTCCGGGATTGAGGGGATGGGTCCATTCCGGGACTGGGGCAGGATCGCTCCCTGGGGGTGGGCTCCATTATTGAGTCAGGCTCTCTCCCCTTCCCGATCCCAATCCTGTTCCCTGATCCTGTTCCCCATCCCAATCCCATTACCATTTCTGTTCCCGTTCCCGGGCCAGTTCCCGATCCCGAGCTCATTCCCAACCCCATTACACTCCCATTCCCAATCCCGATCCCATTCCCATTCCTGTTCTCGATCCCGATCCCACAGCTGTTTCCGGGGAATGGCTCCTATCCCAGCCCCGACCCCAAACCCGGGGGGTCAAACACCCCAAATCCCAACTGGGAGGGGGGAGGTCAAACAGCCCCAAAACCCAAAATCTGGGATGTCAACCTCCCCCCTGCCCCAAACCACAAATTTTAGGATAAAATCCCCCAAATCCCAGATCCTGGGGTGTAAAACACTGTTAGAGGGAATGCCGCGGGAGACAAGACTCATGATATCAAGATCATCAAGTCTCAGTTTATTGTAACAGATTACACAGTTTATAGATGTTCGTTAATTAGCTCATACATATTGCAAAAGCCAAGCTCATGATTGGTTGCTATGTGACTTGTACTATTATCTTAAAAGTATCTTTATGATCGATACATGCCTGTCCAGCTGGCCTTGCAGTTAGAACAGCTTAGTACCCCTTTGTTCTTCTCTATCTACTTCTACATACCAAGCAGTTTCAATA